GTTCTGGAAGCGGAGCGGCGCGAAGGTGCCGGGCAGGTGAGCGGGGCGGCGGGAAGGTCGGGGCCCCGCGGGAGGCCCCAGCGCCGTGTTCGGCCGCCGAGTTCAACGGGCCCTTGTCGGTCCTGTGCCCTCTGCAGGGAGCGCGGTCGGTCGGTCACTGCTGGTAGCTGGGAGGCTGGTGTAGGGCCTCTCCGTCCTTCCCTCGGTTGTGTCTCGGTAGCCGAGTGCCCGCAGCGCTTCGGTGTTGGGCGCCTCCAGTTATCTGATTGAAGATCGCTGGTGGGGGCTCAGACAGCGCAGGTTATAACTTGTAGAAGAAAAGTTGTTAAATAATTATCTGAACCTGTGTTCCCAGGCGGATGTCACGGTTGAAAGAGTTAACGTGGTTTCGGGGATGTGTTCCCTGGAAAACTGTGAATGGGAGAATGCGTTTGTAGCTCTTGGCAACGATAAAAGTTTTCAAGTTTTGTGACGCTTGATACAAGTTGTGATATTTTGAAGTACTATGCAGGAAACTGCACTTTATGGGCAGATAGCCATATTTTAGTTTGCGCTTGATATTTCAAAATTTCGTCAGTTTCTCAACTTGCTTCCTGAAGCGTGAACAGCAGACCCAGCCGATGTATGATTGCTGGCAGCTACAAACATGTTCTCCCATTCAAATATTTCTAGGCAATACATCCCCAAAGTCACATTAACTCTTTTGACCATTATGTCAGGCTGGGAATGCGTGTTTAGATGATTATTTAACAATAACATTCGTTGCTCCCATCTCTAAAATGCTCTCATACTAGAGTAATTCAGTTTCTTATATTCTTTTTGTAAGAACAATGCGTGTTCTTGGTTCTCAGGGAACAGTAGCTCTATACTTCATACCATTTGCCTAAATTCGGCAAAATAATCTTACTTGTCATTAAATTTTTTGGATTCTTAGTTACCCATAAGCACTAATAGGTAGTGGTTTTGTTTCTATAGTTATAAACTAACTCTTTTGGTCCAACTGTTCTTGTCTCTCTGGACTTTCTGTTTTGTAACTTTGCTGAGTCCTTTGGGGGTAAAAACACTTTTGACTCTACTCAATTACACAGGGTCTGTGAGTAGTTGCAGTTAATTAATTTGCAGGCAACTGCAGGCATGTGGAAAATAAGGACACTGTGGATACAGTGCTGTTGATTTTTTTTTTTTTTTTTTAATAGTGCGGAGGGCTTTGTTGTTGCTTTATAGTTGGGTGGATTCCCATCATGGTCATTCATAGAGTGAAGGAAAAGGCTGATTCTGTCTGTATGCCAAAATGGAAAGTGACACCTGACCCTCATGTGAGCATAGAGCAGGAGAGTACAGAGACTTGACTGTCAAGTGTATGGCATACAGTTGTGTAGAAAGATTGGTGGTGGACTGACTTTTTGGTTTGTATGGTATCATATAAAAATTGATTGAGTTTATAAACCACCACCCTCAGTCATCTCCTGGGCTAATTTCACTACTGTTAATACTGCCTTTGTAGTATAACTATAAGCCTCTCTTAAAATTTGTTATGACTGCATTCCTTTTGGCTTGGTTTACTCAGGTCAGAATTATCTATAAATGTTTATGGTCTGGAGTTTGGTTTTGATTTGCCAGGAGTCCATGTTTGTCTCACTTTTACGTGGTTTTTAGTACAGGTTTAGGTAGATGTTAATGTTGCATATGATTTGCTCCTCTTGCAATCAGAGAGTTTTGTAGCAACAATTTCCATTTTGAAGCCATGTGTAAATCTTGATGTGTTTTTCTGTAGAGTTTTTTTTTTACTTATAATTTTATGGCTGCAAACTGAGAGGATTTGAACTTTTAGTTTGTAGAGAGTTTTATTATTCACATAGTAGTATGCTGTTCTGTAATGTTAAAGATTGTGGTGAATAAATCTATCCTTGGAAGCTTATTTATTTCAAGTTTGGTTTTTTGTTTGGTTTTTTTTTTTAGTACTCCCATGGCTTTTATTCTCTAATATGCCATCTTCTGCATTTTTCTTTATCAGCGTTATATTTTAGTAACGGTTAAGAATTGACTGGTTGGATTTGGGGTGACAAGGGTACATAGAAGATTCAATCTTTGCAGATGTTTCTTTGACAATTTTTTTTTTTTTTGCAAGAGATAAATGAAGAAATGATAAATCAGAAAAGAGAAAGAATTTAAGAGCAGTGTAGATTCTTACTGTGGAGTTAACTTTTTTTCTTGTTTTAATTCCTGGTCAGAAAAATAAGTTAGCCTAGGCCTCAAAAGTAGCTTCTATTTGGCAAATCTATGATTTTTATTAAGCTACTTTTTAGTATATGCGTCAGTTCCAGCACCATTATTTTTAGGTGTATGTGGGATTCTTTGAAATGGAAAACTGTTGGAACATTTCAGTTCTGTTTATTATTGACTATTTATTTAAGACACAGAAAACCCTCAAATGTTTTTTTATTTTTGTCATAACTCTCTTTCTTTTCCTTTAGTATTCAACATGTATATGGAGCTCAGCATCCGCCTTTTGATCCATTATTGCATGGAACGTAAGTTAACCTAATATTTAAATATTCCAGGTAATTTGGACCTCCTCTGCCTTCTCTCGTCTTTTTCTTCCCCCTTGGCTATAAAGCTTAGTGTTAACCTTCCTTTTTCAATTTTTGTCATAATCTTGACTCCTCTGTTCTAACTTCTCTTTTGTGACTTCCTGTTGCTTACTATATTGGGAGCAACAAATCTGCTGTTCGGTCTTTAACAAACATAGATTGCCAACTCTTATTATCTGTTCACAGTGCCTTATAAATTGGAAATTGTATGGTAAATTGTATGGTAAATACAATACAATTGTATGGTATTGTATGGTAAATACCAATCTTAATTTAGCAGATGAAGTTTACAACTCAGGTGTAAGCTGCTTTCCTGCATGTATCTTTCTGTTGATGGACTGTGTTTATTTGTCTGTCTATGAGAGAAAAGAGTCGGGTTGTGGTGTAGATCATTTTGAGGCAAAGGTGGGCATTTTGCTTGTGTGTGAGAAGACAGTAGGTAGACTAGATTTTACAGTGATTTAAGACTTTATTGCCTTATATCATGATTATTGGATATCAGAACACAATGTACATGACAGTGGCAACATTATGCTAAACATCATTAGTAACAAAATAAATTTCATGCTGATAACCCACAACTAATGGAAGTGAATTATTTTCATCTCCTTATGGCTGAGGTGTTTAGCAAAATGCTGCATTCTGACAGCTTCTGCTTTTTATGTTTTGCTTTATCGTCAGATTTATATTTTGAAAGACAGTTTGTTTTAAGCTTTGTGAAGGAAAAAGTTGTTTCTGGTTTGTTGGTAGATTTCACAGCTGCTTTGAAACCAGCATTGCTGTTAAAACATTTATTTATGTGAGAATTTTGGGAAAATTGTATGGCCGCTGATATGAATGGCCCAAAGCGGTAGGGACAAAAAATAATGTTAGAAGGAAAAGTATTGGCTTGGAAGGATGTCGTACTTCTAGTGGATTTTTTCAAGGGCTAGTTTGAAGTGGCACAAGAAGTAAACTTGTGCTAGTTAATTTTCAGATGACATGGAGTTAAAGACAATTGAAATGTGTGAGCTTTAGGACTGAAAAAAAAGGAATTAGATGAATTGGTTCAAAATATGGAGTTATAGACAGACCCAGTAACAAAAACTAGAAGTTTATTGCTTGAAATAATGACAGGAGAAAGACCTTGCTGTTACAGACAATGATGACGGTGGGAAAGTGTTAGTGTTGTAGCACCTGTTAGGAAAGATATTCCCTGTAATGTGTAGCAGAAACATTACTGACATTGTATGAAGACTGTGTGAGAACTTTTTCTGATTTGCAATTCTGTCTGCCTTGTCTTAACAGAAAAAAGTTAAACTAGCACAGGTGGAAAGACAGGGATGGTCAGAAAAGGCATTTAAGTTAACGGCAGTAACTTTAATTTTGAGAGCAGACTTGGAAACTCTCAACTCATTTAGCTGAAATTTGGAGGAAGATGTGATTGCTTTGCATTACTGTAAGTGAGAACAAGTGCCAAGCTAGGGAGGGATACTTGTTTCATCTCTTTTATACTGCATGTTGACAGAGGGACAAAAGGTTAGGAGCTGATCAGGGTACACTTAGACTTGCAAGTAGTTAACTTAGGCTTAGTAACTTGAGGAAGTATCCTGCCTATGAGAAGAGCAAAGTTCTGAAGCAAATTCATGCTGGAGTGCCTGAATGGGGAGGAATGATAGATCTCATGAGTTTCAAGGTGAGACTTGATTTGTTTATGACAGTGATTGTATTGTGTGATTGCTTATGATTACTCAGTAGACCTGATGAGTTGATTACTGCTGCTGTGTTGTTATGCAGCAATTACACTCAGGGGCCTGAAATCCCTACGTAAGTTCATGAAGCAAGAGAAGTGCAATGTGTCCTGTCTATCTTATAAACTATTCCAGTAGTATTTGTTTTATTTGACTTTGAGGTTGGTCTTTTTTGGGGTGGGGAAAGGGGGTACGTGTCTGCTTTTTTTTGTTGTTGTTGTTGTTGTTTTTTTTCTTTTAAGACAAGGAAAGGAAAGATTTGTTCGGCTTCTATTCAAAGCCAAGAAGAGTCAGTTTTTACCTACCCTTCTTCTCAGACATACTCAGCTGCATATTATCATGGGCAGATGTAGCAGTAACATGAGTGGAGGTTGATAAATATTTGCATGAACTTTTGGTTTTTGGCCCTATCCATAGTGTTTTGCTTACTCCATTACTAGTTCTCTAAACATTGTTTATTTGTTTTTGAACAGCTTGATAAAACCAGGTTCAAAGCCACCTACAACTCCAGTGAAACTAAAGAAAGTCAGCACCTTTCAAGAATTTGAAAGTAACACAAGTGATGCTTGGGATCTTGGGGATGATGATGACGAACTCTTAGCAATTGCTGCTGAAAACTTAAATACAGAAGTGGTCATGGAAACGGCTCACAAAGTAATTCAGAATCACAGCAAGCTACAAGAACAGCATAAATTTCAGGAAGAACATCTACAGGAAGAAAAACAAGTAGAATCTGCAGAGATGACTTCAATTGCATGTGGTGATAATAGGCTTGTTAAATCAGTCAGTGAAGGTCATACATCGAGTTCATCAGGTATGTTAAAAAAAGGAAAAATGTTGACAATCAAATGAGGAGAGCTATAATATTTGCCCTTTAAGACATTAACACCTTCCGAACCACTTCTTAATACCACAGGAAAACATTATTAATTGGTATTGATTTATTTGAGGGAGATACTGCATACCATACTAAACTGTAAAGCATGCATGTGAGGAGTACATGAGTGAAGGAAAAGTAATTAAACTTTTTTGTTTTCAGCCTTAATACATCCTCCGTTTTGGAAGGAAGTGGCAGTATTGAATGTATTTTAATGGTTAACTGCACTAAGATGTATGCAATTAATAGTGTTCCTACTATTGTGAAAAAATGTTATTAAAATGCTGCTATATAAGTGTATTGAAAAACTGGAGAAAACCATGCATGTGGACTGGAAAGTTCATCCTGAAGTGATCTGGTCTGTGTTTTATGTATAAACTTTAATTAATTTCAATGATTTCCCATTCTCTTTTTTTTTTTTTTTTGTGGTGAGTGGAATAGAAACATCTTTCCATAGCACAGAGATATTAGAAATCAATTAGCCTTGCTGTTAGTGTGACCTGTAATTGATGTGTGCTAGTTGTAGAATGTTGCTTGGAAGAGGAATGCTCCTCTTGCTAAATCCAAGTCATTTGAAGTCTCCAAACTTGTGCTATACTTGAGCTTACATTTCTCCAAAACATAATTCTGTTCTCAATTCGCAAATTAAATTCAAGTTATTAGTAGCCTTATCACTAGCTGAGGCTAACTCTTATGCTTCTTTCTCCCTTCAGATAATGCTAGTGAAAATTCTTCCATGCAGAGATCACAGTCCCTTCCACAAACTTCCACACCTCCCTTGGTGAGTGGAATGGCAGACTATAATACCTCAGTTACTCCTGCATTAACTGAAAGAGAGGCATCCCGATTAGACAAATTTAAGCAGCTACTTGCTGGCCCCAATACAGATCTTGGTGAGTATTTCTTATAGGAGCTACAAATTACATCTGAATTACTCTTTAACTATAAAATTTTCCTGTTTGAAGTACTGTTCTGCATGATAGTTTGGTTAGGATCTAATCCTTTCGATGCTTAGAATTGATCTTGCAAAGGAAAGAAAATATCATTCAATGCTTGTAGTATTCATGCTTGTAATGTGCAATTTGCATATGTAGAGTATTAGATGACTTCTTGTTCTTTTCTTTCTCATGTTATTTCTTCCTCCTGGACTAATCTCTGGAGAAAAAACAAAGTATAATTAGCTGTGTTTAATGTTAATGCCTCATAGTGGAACAGTATGCACTATAAGAATGATTCTCACGCTTAGAATTATGAATGTGAAGAACGATGAGGCGTGGAAGTATTACTGCTTGTCTACTCAGTGAGCGTTCTTAGTGTTCACAGACTGAAACAGTAGTTCTGTGTCTCATCTGTGAACGCTGACGACATGTTAATGTGGAAACAAATGTATTGTCAGATAACTTGACTGTTCCCTTTGTGCTCTGGATTTTAACTGCTGAATAGTAAATACAAGCTGAGACGGTATCACAGAATCAAATGGCTTTGTATCCCAAGTGAAAATCTGTAGCAAATAGAAATAGTACACTGCATTTGGAGAACTTGGCTGGTCACTTAGAAGTAGGAGCTTATGCCAAAATAATTAATAAACAAAATGACTGTGAGTTACACTATTCTGGAAGGTATCTACAAGAAGACCTTATGGAAAGAATTAGAAACTGCGTGTTTGCAGTTCTTGAATTGGCACTTTCCTGCCCTGTAGTTGTCACGAGACTTCTTCAGTATGATATGGTCCAAGTTGTGGCTTTTTTTTTTTTTCTGTGCTGTGTCTTATTGTGAGATTGATGCTAGCAAAGTAGAACTATGGAAAAAATACTAACTCGATGAGACTTAACACCAGTGAGTCATAGGACATTCTTATAAAATGCAATTGTGAATAAACTCTGAAGTGTTAAAACAAATTCCATATTTTATATAAGCTTAAAAATGATAATCAAATATCAATTTTTCTCCCTTTGATCTAATAGATGTTATGAGCTATGTGATTGCGACTGATGTGAAAACTCATATAACTTTTAAAGAGTGTTGTCATGGTAGTAATCTTTGTTATATAAGGTTGCAAAGTCAGAGGCAAGACAAAGTTTAATTTAAACGTCTCTATTTCACTTGTGCCATCTAATTGGATGGGAGTACTTTCCCAGTAAATCAGACTTACGAACTCAAGTAAAATATTTTACAAGGGAGCGACAGAAAATTTCCACTCCTATTAGGACTGCAGTGAGACTGAGACTGCGGTGAGAGTTTAGTTGATACTATTTAAACAAACTGGTTTTGTGTTTTTTCCCTATTGAACTTACTAAATCTCACACAGAATTTAAACAAACTGGTTTTGTGTTTTTTTTCCCTATTGAACTTACTAAATCAGAGGAATACGAAATACTAAATACAGAGGAATACGGAATACTAAAATACAGAGGAATACGAAATTTGAGTATGTTGCTGTTATATCTGATAAGTTCTCAATATTCTTTCATGTAGATATTACTAAATAATTCCTTTTCTATGTTTGTTTATAGGAAGCTTGGTCTTTCTCTTGCTGTGCAAACTGTAATGAGTACAGAATTTGAAGTTGTGTGAATTAGATTGATACAAATATTTTGTATTTGTATCTAGGATATATCCAGCAGAATTTCCTAATAAATCTATAAATAATTAATGATTTTTCTTAGTGAAAGAAATGAGCTCTATTTACGACACGCGAACTCTTGATGGTCATGAAGCTGTTAGTAGTAGATCTTTTGTGATGGTAGTGCTCGGACTACATTATATGTATATATTAGGGAAAGTGTGTGTATACATGTATACATGTGACTATACGTACAGTTCATCAGAATCTGGTGTGTGCATGTGTGTATGTGATTTTGGGGGTTGTTTGGTTTAGATTCACGTTACAATGAAGACCATGCTTAAAAAGGAATCTTGATTTAATGACACTGTTAGCCTGGGAAACTGTTGTGGGTTGTGTGTGGTAGGTTTTTTTTGTTGTTGTTGTTGTGTCTTTTGGGGGTTGCTGCTTTTTATTTTATTTTATTTTATTTCTTCAGAGTAATACTGAAAATGGACAAAGGTAGAACTAGGTAACAGGCTCCAAGCTAAGACTTGTAGTGTGTAATGATGGCACAGGTAGCTATTTGGTTGCAGCTGTCTCCTGTGTGTGTTTGTGTATGTGTGATGTTGTAGTATGTGTGGGTCTTTGTTTTGTGTTAGATCCACAGATTGTGTATTGTTTGTCACAATGAATTGAATTAGTGGGTAGTTGTCTTGGAGACATTTTAGCAAATATTTCTGTTCATTTTTGTGTGTAATAGCATTGGTTTTGCTTGGAAGTAGTAACAGCAGAAGTAAAGTATTTCTGTTGGCTTTGTTTTCTTAATATAGTTTTGCATATTGTTGAAGGATGTGGACAAGTCCTTTCAAAGCAATATAAAAAAAAAGTTAATCTGTGGAACTGAAACAATGTCATGCATATTTTTCAACTCAAGGCTCTTTTCTTATAAGTTGAGAAATCAGCATAGACTAAGAACACAAAGTAATACAAATGACCTTGAAGTCCTTTCAGTCACACTTCAGTAACGATTATCCTATAAAGACAGTGTAAAATGCAATGTTAGTCTTGTATGGCAACTAAAGGTTGTGAAAGAGAGTGTTCTTTCATAAGAAAACGCTCAAAAAGATGGATTATGTATATAAACTTGGAAGCGAAGATTATTTTAGGCATTAAAGCCCACAAATAGATTTTGGAGTTGGGTTTGGTGCATAGGTTGGATATTGTGAAGTTGTGAAGATACATAGGTTTTATCAACCCCATCAGATTATACACTGGGCAAAATAATACACCAGGTATAGTCTGCAATTGGGATATGAATCCACTAGTAAGTATTACATAAATATATAATGACAGAACCATTCTCAAAGTTTCTGTGTGCAGTTTTATCCAGCAGACACTTACATACACAAATAGTTTTTAGACCAAGGCATAATCCTTGAGAACACAAACTAGGAAAGGAAGGAAAAAAACCCAACCCCAGAATTCTCAGACTATAAAAGAATTAATTCTTTTAGGTTACTTAACTCTTATTTATGAATAAAGAGCCTATTTCCATGGCTCAAAAATGCCCTTAACTCATTTTTTAATGTCTTGTGGAGCTGAATAAGGAACTCACTCCTCTAATTTATAGTTGCCCTTGTAGTTGTTCTGAGTCTTCCCTTAAGCCTTCCTAGCACACTTCACTTCTCTGTTCTGCAGGCATTTTTGTTGTTTGCATGATAAACAGATGCAAATAATATGCCTTAGTTCCATTTGACACTTTTTATTTGACTATTGCTATGCTGTTATTACCTCTAATGTAAATGGGGAAAGTATAATATGAATTGGATGTCAAGGATAGTTAGCTATATGAAAAAAAGCCCCAGTTCCTATAGAAATATTACTTCTAGGTATACGATTTGTGCTGCGGAAAAGAGGTATTCAAGAGCCCTGACAATATACCTTCAAGTAGTAATATAATGCAAAGAATGAGGAGATAATCTCATAAAGTTAAAATTACAAAATGAAAGCTGCTAAACAAGCTGAACGATGTTATGGCAAGAAATGTGGGCTGGTAGAAGGAGCCTGTTATAAGAAGCAGTTTTGATTTGGAGAGAGACTTGAGGACTGACCCCTGTCAGTTAGATCATACTGAGGTATACTAGGTCCAAATTCAGGCAGCAAGGTGGGTGGGACTGGAGGTGGCAGTACAGCGGTGTTTAATAGACAACGGTAGGATAGACTGTAGGGCCTGTGTGTCTGCGTAGTCTTCCACTCATGGTACTACGTGCCAGGTTATTCAGAGAGAGCAATTTGCAGCAGTTGTTTTGTGCAATCAACCTGTGCTTATGCTTGCCTTGCAAACAATTTGGTGTAGATTTACTTCATTTCAGGCCTTGTCTTTCCTTGTAATGGACCTTCTGTTACTGAATGAAGATGGGTTCTGTGCTTGCAGAATCTTTTGCAAACAATTGGTTGCCTTAAGAGGAGGGGAGAGGACCAGACTTTAACAAAGCGGCATAGGGAGATTGTCTCTGAGAAGAAATCTCTCTTCAGCAGATTATTGTTTACTTCTTTAAGAGGGACAGTACTGCTATGTATATCCGGTTTCCAATTTAAGTTTAATTCTATCAAATTTGTTAGACTTGTGTTTTCAAGTAGTTTTGTACAATGTTTTTTTACAGTTGTTGATACATTCTAGATGTATATTAAACTTGATTATAGTAATTATCTTCTATTTATGGTTCATAAATATATTCGTCTGTAACAGCAATCTCTTACCTCCTTTAAAACTGTTTGTCAAACTGATGTTATAGAAAAGTTTCAGTAACTTTACAAAATGCATTAATTGAAATTAACTTGATTAGTTTTGTTCCCAGCTTCATTAATTTGTCTGCACTGAACTGCGTAGCTATTTATCTCTATGCTTCTAGTTCATCCATGTCATTTAGAATTTTATTGCCCCCTGCAGTTTTGAATTATCTGTAGTTGATCACATTAGTGCTTATTCTTCTTCCAGTTTGTTGATGCATAGTGTAAAGTGAACAAGAGGAGTCCTACCACTGCTTCATGTGACATGCCATAGTTATATCTATCTTTTCAAACTGTTATCACCAAAAGGTATCCTCTGCAATTCCCGTTGTGTTCCAGTTAGCTTGTTACCTGCAAAACATGCTTACCTTGTCGGCTAATAAATAAGACTAAAAAAAAAGGTCAGTACTCTACCAGTAGGCTTTGGAACATCTTTCTTTTAAATTAAAAATCTTCTGAAAGAAATCAGTGCTAAATGTCCATAAATGATTCCTTATATTAATTGCTTTTTGCATGATTAGTATTTTGTCTTCCTATTTGTTATGGCTTCATCTCGTA